ATTTTTAGATGTAAAACTATTATTAATTTATTATAATTAGAATTTATTTACATTTTGCATTAATTTTTTCTGTAATTCTTTACTTTTTGTTTCATTCTTGGTTCTGTTTGACTAAAACGTTTGACCCTAGGGCTGCCAAAAACGATTACTTTTATAATAGATTAATCACCAATTATTTTTTTTTCGATTAGTCGACTAATCAGATCATACGTTAATTGAATATAAAACATAGAGCTTATGGCGCCAGAATGCAGCTGCTATTATATAACCATGGTTAGATTTTAGCTAAATGCTAACTAAAAATAACTGCTGTGGAAGGCAAGTTCTGCTCTGCAGATATTGCACAGGTTTCTCTGTCATTTTCTTAAAATGATCCCACACTTTTGAGCTCCGTTGTCAGGTAGCCATGATACCAGAGCCTGTCTGTAAAATGTCTTGTAACGTCCACGGCGTACACCAGTTACCACTACTGTGCATGTGCGTCAAGGACAGAAAGGCAGATGTGGCAGTAGAAGGTATCAAAGCAGTTTGGTGAGAAAAACAAAGTAAAGAAAAAAAGAGAGAAAACGATTAATCGATTATTAAATTAGTCATCGATTATTTTAATAATCGATTAGTCGTCGATTAATCRAGTAATCGTTGCAGCCCTAGAGATTAGCATAATTACCACCCCAAAAGCACCATATAAGGCTATGTTTCCTGCCTCAGATATCGGGAAGTGTCCATTCATGAAAATGACAGCGAAAAGTAAAAAGAAGAACTTTATGAGTTCAGAGATTGAAGTCCTGCTCTCCGAGATCAAGAAAAGAAAATCTGTCAGAGCTGCTAAAGCAGAGGAATGAAATGATGACTGCTGTTAATGTCTCCCGTGGGTTGTACAGCAAGTGAAAAAGTTTGGGCACCCTTGTTAATTTTCCTGATTTACCTTTATAAATCACTGATTGTTTGGATTAAAAATATCAGTTAAATAAATAATATAGGGGACAAACAGTGATATTTGAGAAGTGAAATGAAGTTTATATGATTTACAGAAAGTGTGCAATAATTGGTTAAACAAAATTAGGCAGGTG